TTCAATATGCAATTTGCACTTTGCAATTTGCAGTGCAAATTGGTTGCTAAGTCTCTATTTCGTCCAACACTTGTTTTGCCATCATTTTCCTTTTCCTTTTGTTTTCTTTTTCTTTTGTTTTCTAACTAATTAATTTATCCGCGCTTCGCGCGGTCATTAAACAAATATTTAACAAGTGATCATTTTATAAATTAGACCATATAGAAAAATAAGCAACATGACAATCACTTAAACTAATTTTCATCTACAAAAATTATATCTAAACTAATCAAATCTCCTTTTAAGTAAATCTTGAAAGTATTATTAATTAATAATGCCTTACTGAAAAAGCTTCTATAATTATAGTAAATCACGACAGAATAGACATATTTTCAATCGTTCCACACTTATCTAAATAATTTCTAAAATAACCAAAACTACAAGCAGTAAAACGAAGGAAAAAGTCACATAACATTTTTCACTTAGTTCTCAGTAAGTGGTATGTGTGCTATCATTTTCAATTTGACTCTAATTAGATAACTATTTTCTCAATTATGAATGTAAAAAAATAGTTTCTTTCATTAGATAATCTTTTTCTACCATCTACTTTTACATGTCACATCTAAACTTTTCTACTTTTTACTTGATATAAAGAAAATAATCATAGCCAAGGTTCAACACGTGTAGAAGGAGTGGCAGTTGTTATTGGCTCAGGTGCCCAACCTGGGGCATAGACAATTGTGTAATTGCTTTTAAAAAATAAAAATCGAATTCTTAATCAAAAATTACATACAAAACAATCAGACAGAAAAGCAAATTAAAACAAATAAAGCATTGAGTACTTTTTTTTTTGTAGTTTCATAACTACAGAATTTTCAAAGAGCAGTTCTCTCAATTTGAGGGAAAAACTTATCAAAAAGCAGAATCAATTGTATGAATGATAATAGTTCTAATTATAAATTTTAATGGAAATTGGAATAGGATGTTAAATCGATTTTATTTAAACTCTGCTGCAAAATGAAGAGGCACGTACTTGCTGCTTCGGCCATTTTTTCAGTTACATATTGTTTCCGTGGAAGTTTAAGAGGCCAAAAAATTAAGGGAAGCTAATCATTGCTAAATGAATTTTACAAAAATCTTGTTCGTATTTTTCTCATCATTTAGAAATCGAATGCCAATTGCCAAGTGCAACAACTATTAACCAGCACATTTAATAAATTGATACACTTATATAATAAAAATAGTAATTTCACAGCATTTCAAAAATTAAAAATAGTAACTTCACAGTATTTTAGAATCTTTCTACAGCTTTTAGNTAATCCTATAAAGTCAAATCATAAAGTTGTATTTCTAGATTCACATTGTGCTTGATAGATAACAGCAAGACCGTTGCAAAAGGGATAGAATAGCAGATAACTTCTCAAAACCATGAGACTTAGAAGGTTTTTCTTGCAACCCCATGGTATCAAAATTCTTATTCAATTTGCTAACTCTAAAATTCATTCTGTCTTAGTTATACTATTATCAGCACTATAACCAAAACAAACATTACCCTGCCTTCCAATATTAGTTTTCTAACATAAATTTCAATCTAGAAAGTACCTTAATTGTAACAAATAACACAACATAAATATTATTTTTAAGAAGAAAAAACTCACCTTCAGAGCTTGTAATGTGTAATATCCATATCTGCTTGATTTGAAGAAACTCTTGAGAAAAACTACTCATCCTTAAGATATAATTATACGTAATTGATTTTCAAGTTTTTCTTTAGTTGTAACTTGTAAGAAATAAAGGTTGTTCACTATTAAACAATCCTCCATATGGATCTACATCTTCTTCTGCATCTTATCACTATTAACAATGTTATAATGTTGCAACCCCCACATCTCGTTAAATATAATTTCTCGACAATTCCGTTATGGCGATATTTTAATTCATGGAGTACTATAAGTCTGTAATCCTCAATCAATCATTAAGTATAAAAAGGCAGCCTAATTTTTTAAGTTTGTTGGGACATCACATTGAATCGGTGGTATGAATAGAAGCCTTCTTGGTTCGAAGAGAGGGAGGTTACTGTGGTAACATAATTGGTAGAAATGAGGAAGATTTTGCAATAAAGGTAACTTCTGAAAACAATGAGGAAAAAATTGCATGCGGTTGTAGTTAATGGCATATTCAGAGAGGTGATCGGGCGGAGAGGTTAAAGTCTTAAAGAATAGGTAAATGGGTGCATGGAATGGAGGTTACAATTCTATTTTCATTCTATCTTTGATGATATTATTTAAAGAAGGAAACTAATTACTGGAATGTGTGTCTTTAAAGGTTGTGACTGTTCATACTTAACCGTTGGTTGATTCTAATTTTAAACGGTACTTAATTAGAGAAATAGGGGCAAAAAGTCAAAATTCTAAAAAAAGAAAAATATGAATTCTGCTCATGGAGATTGCCGCATCACCATTTCTAGTCCCTGCTTTATAATATGGCAGAATAGCCTCGTAGACCATTGTACTTGTTCTGGTTTGTCATCCTTGTCCCTGCACTCGATAGAGTTTCATCTCGACACTTATAGTTGCTAAAACACACTATCTTACATCCCTCTGACCCGCGTGTTGCTCAATCACGCTGATATTAATATCCACATCATATAAAATATGCCACATTCAGATAAAATATGCCACATTATTTTATTTTTATTTTTTTAAAGGCAGAATGGCCACCATTTTCACCTTCTTCACCCTCGAACACCATTTTAATATTCAGTCACCTTCCCCGTTAAAACCTCACCACCGAACCACAACAGAGATACTAGCAAACATCAAAAGCTTGTTTTTTTCTTCAAAAGCTTATTTTTTTCTTACCTCTACCTCATTGTAAACAAATAATAAAAAGAAGGATTTGTGAATATTCACCACAAATTTCCGAGGGATTGAAAGTGGGAGAGGAAGTTGCAATCACTTCAAAATTTAATAATTTTCACAAACCAAGCAATTGATTTGGGCACCCACACACCATTACAAATTAGATTCGAGCACCTCATATCTTTCTTCCTTGTTTTTACTCTTCGTATCCATGGCCCTTTTGGTATTTTTCACCTAATTTTTTTTTTTTTATAGTCTCTTTGTTAATACATTTCAGAATGAAAACAAAAATTTCTGGTACTGATTCTCTTTATCTTCTGCATTACATTAATTCAGCAAATGCCTTATTGCAGCTATATCATCACCTTTATGCTCTCTCAAAGTCCTTTCAACAACCTTCTTGTCCACCTCCAGTTCATTTGCAATTATATCAATATCAACAGCATTGATCTTAACAGCAGCTAGTTCCTTTTCCCTCATCCTCATAGCTTGAAGATCAGCTTCTTTGGATGCATAAATTGAAGCCATAGCCGTTTGAACACGGGAGGAATCGAGCTGACGATCTTCGACATGGTCAGTGAGCTTATCAAGGGCTTTGCTTTGCTGCTGCAAATCCTTTGAGTCCACCATTTCTAGTGCTTCGTCTCCCGCTTCCATTTTTACTTTTTTGCTTTGACTATCAGATTCTGTTTCAGTTTCAGAGCTTCACCTGATTTGACTTGAACTGCTAGATTTTTTTTTTGTATTTTTTTATTTTCTACTTAGAAAGGTGATGCGGAAGAAATAATTGTGGTGGTCATCGGTGGTCTCCGTCGCCGGTGATGGCGAACTTTTCCACTGTGCTCTTTGCCATTGATGATTCGGAAGTTTCAACATTAGCCAGCGATGATTTTTTGACAGGCTCCGATGAAATTCCTATTCTTCTTGATGTTGTTGGATGAAGTTCCTGTTACGAACTATGGGTTCTTAACTGATCTTGTATGTTGATTCGTCTTCTATTGCCCTTTAATTATGATGAAAAGAAAAGCTATGGCAGCAAAAGAGAACCATGGGTTCTTCGTTTTTTATGTTTTTCTTTTTCTGTTTTTCTCTTATTTTAGTCATTTTCTATGGAATCCTTGTAATCACGCTCTTTTTGTGTGTGTGTGTACCAAACATTTTATCCACCTTAGCTTTACCTATGCCACGTAAGCTAGGTCAACTGTCAGAGGAGTGTAATATAGTGTGTTATAGAGGGGTATGGACCGAGATAACAAATCGAAACAAGTACAATGGTCTACCGGACTATTCTGCCTTATAATATTTTATAGAGGGGTATGGACCACCCGGTTCAATGGAGCGTTTAAACCTACGAAACTCTACCACTTATTCAACTACCGTTTAGTCCTAGGCCACGTTAAGAGGCTCAACATATCCTATACAATACAATAAGCTGCACAGGATTTGCCATCGACCTGATCTTCTTCTAAATCACTCACAAGATTGATTAGAAACGGTATAAACATGTAGTTGGATAATATCAATTTTTGTTCAGATAGGCAAAAAACGATCCAGCGCTAGCAGTAAAATAAATGAAATACAATTGCTTTATTCAATCTCAATATGTTAATTTTGTTTACATAATATGATCTCTTCGCAATCATTAATACTCAAGGTACAAAACTCCAACACCGCAACAAGTGATATTTCGACTAGTCAATGCAGTAAACTAGCTTTTTAACAAGTGGTAATCGTTATGCCACGACTATAAAGAAGGACTATTCACCTAGGCAAGTAGTAGGAAAGAAGGAAACTCTGACTAGCACGACTTTTCAAAAATTGAGAACTTAGAGTCCGTTTGGACATAAAAACTTTTTTCTTTTTTTTTTTTTTCAAAATAAATTCACTTTTTTTTTTTCTAAATGAACGTTTGTCCATAAAATTTTCAATTTTCACTTGAACATACATTTTGAAATTTTTCGAAATTTTAAAAAATTTTAAAAAGTTGTTTTTCAAAATTTTCACTCAAATTACTCACAAAACTTCAAAAATAACCCAAAATTATATTTATGTCCAAACACAAACTCTAATTTTAAATATCTTTTTCACTTGAAAATTTATTTTACTTTTTTTTGAAATTTTACAATTCTTATGTCCAAACGCCCACTTAGAATAGTTGCTTCAGCGTTCGTAAGAAACACTGACTAGCACCACTTTTCAACATGCGTTGGTTCCCAATCTCAGTTTAAATACTGCTTCTGAAGTAGTAGGATGGCGAAGTGAAATTAGTTTGAATGAAAAATTAGCAATCATGGCGAGGATTTTGACAAAGCTAATGCGCGCAGTCCAGTACGATTCTTATGGAGGCGGGGCTGCTGGCTTGAAGGTATTTGCTCTCCATTTCTTTTGAATGGAAACTTCCTGTATATGATTATTATTATTATTATTATAGTTTTCTAGGATAATGTTCGGTCTAACTTGCGCGCACTTTAAGTATTCCATCAAAACCTTGTTACCTCACCGTAAGCCCTTTATACTATTCGTAACTCGAGCATAAAAATTTCGATTTCCATTTTATGACATGAATAAAGCCTATGTTACACGGAACCCGGAAGGGGTACATATTTGGGTGTGTAAGTATTTGTACAGTGACGAATGCACAGAAAATATCCAAATTTTGATTGATGCACATGTATTGCGCTTGTTGCAGCATGTTGAAGTTCCAGTGCCTACTCCAGACAAGGATGAGGTCTTGCTAAAGTTGGAAGCAACAAGCTTAAATCCAGTAGACTTGAGATTTCAGAAAGGTGTGGCTCGTCCTTTTATTCCTCGCAAATTTCCCGTAATACCTGGTAAGTTCAATAATTTATGACATATAATCTCTTCTTCAGAATACAAAATGAGGACACACCACTAGGCGCCCTTCTTGCTTATTAATAATATGCACTTTTAATACTGACATTGTGAAGTGCAGGTACTGATGTAGCAGGGGAGGTTGTAGAAGTTGGACCCAATGTTGTAAAATTTAAGGCTGGTGACAAAGTTGTGGCTCTTCTTAATCCACTTGTAAGTCCGATTCGCATCCCTTTGGAGTTTTCAGCGTGATCTCCTTGCATTGTTTTTGTAGCTGGTGGGCTCTACAGTTACATTTAGGTCACAAAAAAAGAATTGTCTGCTGCTATATATTATTCCAAACTACTTACGCTCATCAACTTGATGTTTCTTTTTTGCTTTAACATGATGAGTTAAGTGTAAAGAATTGTTACACTACTAATGCAATTTAATCGGGTATTTTAAGTTATTACACTATTTTTCAGGTTACTATATTATTCTAGATCAGCTTAATTTGATAGTGAAAACATTCTTTAAAATGTCAATGCACAAAACATAAATTTTTTCGTGTGCTTTAAAACAGATTGGAGGCGGATTGGCCGAGTATGCAGTCGCAAAGGAGAGCTTGACTGTTCCAAGGCCAGAAGAGGTATCGGCTGCTGAAGGTGCAGGCCTTCCAATTGCTGCTCTTACAGCACACAAGGCCCTTGTTGATGTTGCTGGACTCAAACTAGACGGAAGTGGACCGCGTATAAATATTCTTGTCACAGCTGCCTCGGGTGGTGTTGGACACTATGCTGTTCAATTGGCAAAGCTAGGTAATACACATGTTACAGGGACATGTGGAGCTCGTAACATTGAATTCGTAAAGAGTTTGGGAGCAGATGAGGTTCTTGACTACACGACGCCAGAAGGAGCAGCTCTTAAGAGTCCATCAGGCCAGAAATATGATGTAGTGGTTCACTGTGCTAGAGGAGTTTCCTGGTCAACATTTGAGCCTAATTTGAGTGACACAGGAAAGGTCATTGATCTGACTCCCGGGCCTAGTTCAATGTGCACCTATGTATTGAAAAAACTGACCTTCTCCAAAAAGCAGTTGCTGCCATTGATTTTGATTCCTAAAGGAGATAAGGAACTGAAGTTGCTTGTCCGGTTGGTAAAGGAAGGGAAGCTTAAGACTGTATTTGACTCCAAGCATCCTCTAAGCAAGGCACAAGATGCTTGGGCCAAGAGCCTTGATGGACATGCCACGGGGAAGATCATTGTGGAAATATAAAATTATTGTTTTTCAGTCGATCTAAATATGGAAGTATTGGTGCTTGTCTCACTGAGCATTCAGCGCATTAAGGATTACGCCAATAGATGTAGATCGATCAATCTCAATCTATTCAGAGTGATCAGCCAGATTGGAAATCGCCTCAATGATTGTGTCTGTAATGTGCCTATCACTTAATATATTGTAACTTAATTTTTGTTATTTTACCTTTGCAGCAACCGTGTATAAGCACTCTTTCAGAAAGTAATGCCTTTAGAGCCTATAGTATAGCTGTTATTTTTCATTATAAAATGCGGGTGGTTTTTTAAAAATTTAGAGCAATGTGTGAAATAAAATGGCTGGTGGTGCAATACCAGAAAAAGTTAAGAAATAACTTCGGCAGGCTAAAAGTCCAGAAGTAAAATTGGTAGTTTACCCTTATAACTTGAACCTGATTACCCTTTTTACATGAAATTGAACATAGATTGGCATTATTATTATGTAGAAAAGTTATAAAGCACACATAATTATGCTTCAAAGAAAAAGATGATCTATCCAAATGTTGATTGAGGAAGTTACTCAAGTTATAGAAAAACCACCCTGTCTAAGCATGAGGTGCACCTAGATCAGTAAAAGATCACTCAGCAATAGATGGGGTAAATACAAGTAGATCAAAATTCATCTTATTTGAGAAGCTTGACATAACTCATAGTTTCCCCTTCCAACCAAGTGGAGTTAGCTATAAGAGCTTGCTACGTCAGAATGGGAATTCTGATTTCCATTACTGCTGACTACAAATATATATATATATATATATATATATATATATATATATATATATATATATACACATACACACACAGTTACAATCAATGGAGAATCTCATACAATTCCAAAAATCAAGAGATTTGAGATATGTACAGCAATTACAATCACTAATTTGATATGGTTGCTAAATTAGGAGTCAATGAGATTCTGATTGAATGCAGATTTGCTGCTCGATTTCTTTTTATTTTCTGTATCTGCAGTATCACTAACACGCCCCCGCAAGACGGAGAATACGCGGATCTTGGACTGAAGAAGCTCAAGCCTTTGTTTGGATATCAGTTTAGTCAATGCATCCGCCAATTGGTCTTTCGTGGATACATGGGCAACACGTAGTTGACCCTTGGCAACCCTGTCGCGAACAAAATGAAAATCAATAAAAACATGCTTCATGCGGCTGTGAAAAACAGAATTAGCACAAGCATAAGTTGCGCCAATATTATCACACAAGATGGTGGGGGTTGAGGATGGACATTGACGTAATTCATGAACTAAGGGTTAGACCCAAGCAAGTTCAGGAGCAGTACGAGCTATAGTTTTTTTGTTTCTTGGAGCTCCAAGAAATAGGATTGCTGCCAAGGTAGACAATATAGGCAGATGTGGAGTTTCTATAGGCCAAATTTCCTGCCCAATCTACATCAGAAAGGCTTGAAGATTTAAAGAAGAGTCGCGTTTAAGATAAAGACCATGGTAAATAGTAGCTTAAGATATCCCAACACTCGCTTAAATTCCTGCCAGTTTGTGGTGGTTGGATTCTGCATAAACTAAAACAACTTGTTAACATTGTATGAAATATTAGGGCGAGTAAGATTAAAATATTGTAAGGAGCCAACCAACTGCTGATAAGGTTTGGGGTTAACAAAGTCAGTGCCATCTTTCAATTTCAATTCAAGGAAAGTGGACATAGGAGAGGCAACATGCTTGGCACCACTCAAATTGAATCTGTCAAGAATGTCCATGATAAACTTGTGTTGTGACAGGAAAAGCCCCTAGGTTGTTGGGTTGAGTTCCACGAGGAAATTAGTCTGGCCAGAAACTGATCGGAGTTTAATTTCCTATAATCAATAGGTCATAATTTGGCCAGAAACTGATCGGCGTTTTCCATAATCAACAGGTCATCAACATACACCAAAAAAAAAAAACAAAGGATAGCACATAGATGAACAGAGATGCGTCACTGTGGGATAGGACAAAACCAAGAGCGCGAATAAACTCGCTCAGTTCGGGGTATCCGTAAATTGCTTGCTTCAGTTTACAAATGTGAGATGTCCTGGCCCAGGTGGGCGTATCTAGCGGGGTTCCATGGGGCACGTGAACCCATGCTCCCCGCCCTAAATCATGTATAGTAATGTTATATTTTTTCAAAAAATATTTAAATTTATGTGTGTGCACCCATGCTCAAAGTATTATATGATTTGATGGTTATTAAGTGTACCTCTCTAGGTGAGGTGGTGAGGTTGTGAGTTTAAATCTTATGTCAATCTAGTTATTTTTTTCTTTTTATTCTAGAAGTAGACGTCCGTAGGAGATGGGCGTGTCTGATGTTATTTTTTGTGTATAGTTTAAATGTGCTTTATAGCGATTGATGGTTCCATCTTCATTTCGCTTTATCTGAAAATCCACTTACATCCAATAATATTGAAATGAAGCTGAAAAGGGACAAGCTCCTATGTATCATTTCTTAACAAGAGCGTTAAATTCTCCTATGTATCCACTATGATTTTTGTGTGAGAAAATATAGTTATATGACTTTGGTGGAAAAAAATCATAGTTATATGATTTTTGTGTGAGAAAACAAAGTTATATGACTTTAGTGAAAAAAATCATAGTTATATGACTATTTGTCCCCTGATGTTTGGTTGCTGCAAAGGCTCGTTTAGGTTTATAAATGTTAGTTTGAGATCGTGTGGTCATGGAGTCAAGGGATGTTTACATGTGAGACATTGCTCTAATTGAGTGTCTGTTCGGCATGGTGGAGAAGAGGCTGAAGGGCAGAGTCTCTATGCAGAGGAGAAGAAGCAATTATGTCCGTATTTGGAGAAGTGGAAGGGGAAGGCTTTCTCATAGGTGATGCAACTGGTAGTGTGAAATGGGTAGCAGTATTTGCTGCATCATTCCGTGGGGCTTGGATAGAGGAAGATTGTAAGAGATACGAGGAACTTGAGAAGGTAGACTCCATAACTTAAACATGACGAGAGAGGAAAATCTTTTTTACTCAGGTTTATAACATTCATAGGCACTTTGGTTCGATGAGTAACCAATAAAAATGCACAAGTTTGTGATTTTTATATGGCCGCAACCATCCAAAGACTCGTAATTTGGTTCTATTAGGAGCAGTACCAAATAACTTTTGAAATGATGATTGATAATCAAGATTCAGAGTAGGTAGGCGATTAATCAGATAAGTGGCAGCTTGAAAAATATGCCATCAGAAAGATAGAGGTAAGGATGCTTGGTGAAGAAGAGTCAAACCAGTTTTAGCTATATGACGGTGTCGTCTTTCGTCATAACCATTTGTGTTGCGGCGTATATGAAGGTGATGTTAGGTGACTTATGCCATGAGTAGCAAAAAGCTCTTTTAGTTTAACATATTCTGTGCCACCATCAATAAGAAAAGTCTTGATTGGTGGATGTCCAAGTCGATGATGCCAATCAACACTGGTATTATGAACTGTAGGTGTAGATGACTGGGGAAGAACATAGACATTGTCTCTATTCTTTCCTTGTAGCAAGCCCGCCCTCGTGCTTAGATCCTTCACAGAAAAATATCGAGGAAAATTCAACAGAGACATTGTTAGTTTTGTAAAATTTGCCAATGAAATCAGATTAGATTTAATTGTTGGGACACAAAGGACATTGTGAAGGTGTAACTTATTTGAGGGGGATTTTATATCGGATGAACCAACATGTGTAATATGCAAACCTGAGCTATCACTTATTTGCACTTCATCAGGGCCATCATACTCTAAAGGAGTAGAGACAATTGTATTGTTTTCTGTCGGGTTTCCAAAAAGGAGCTTTGGCTTTGCAACATGACTAGATCTATCAAAAAATAGTCAGGTGACACGAGGCTTGCGAGATCTCTGATTGCCTCCTGCTGTCCCGAGATCTATTATTGGAAGCTCATGATTTGTACTACCAGTTCTTGGGGATTATATAAGATTAAAATCTTTATTCACTTAAATTGCTTTAATAATTATTATTGGAATTGGATAATTGAAAGTTGGCTTACCTAGCAGGTTGGGTTAGGTGCCATCACGACTAGTTAGATTTTGGGTCGTGACACCCTGAAATGAAGTGAGGCTTACCAAATCAGCTGAAAAAAGTGTACTGCTATCACTGATCAATACCGCCTGCTGTAAAACCACCTGGATCCATTAAAGATGCAGCGCCCCCGACAAAAGAGACGTTAGTACTGTCGAATAGCACTAGTATGTATAGCTAAAAGTCCTCTTTCAAAATAGAATGCCCATATAAGAAAAGGCAACACATAGAAACAGCAAGTCTCAATCAACAATATCCAAATATTTAGTTAAAATATAATAATTTTCAAAATACGAACTTCATATACAATTTTGGTTGGGAGATCATTAGCACTGATATACCACCGTCTTTGTTAGCACGGAGTCCGATCACGCCCGATCGACTAGGCTATCTCCTCACGGACAATGTGGTTTGACAGGTGATGCGAAAGAAAGTTGTTACTAAGAGTAGTACCATCATATGCGCAATATGGCGTCTGATCTCCACCCGATCAGCTAGGCCGCCTTCCCGCATATGCTGTGTGGGTTGACTTTTCCAATCCACAAAGGTTTCAGTTTCATCCCAATTAAGAGGAATAATATCACAATTTCGCAAAGGTTTCAATTTCATCCCAAATAAGGGGAATAATCCTAATCCACCCTTACACCGGCACGTGTAGTTTCAGTTGTGGGCCTTATGACTCACCCTTCCTCGGTTTTGCTAATGATACTCCCAAAAATATTTTTTTTATTTGATTTGCACACATAGGTAACATAAATACAATTGTACTCACCTCAACATATTTCACATTGTATAAATTCTCATTAGTATTTTCAGTCATTCATAACGACAATATTTCCTTGGCTTATTTGGCCATTATAAGATTCTTTATTCCTGGCACGATGGCCGTATTTCATATTCTACATCTTCACCTCTTTCAATTTCAAAGATCACCGTCAAATATCAACATATAAAAAATTCCAGAAATCATATACTTCAAATCCATTTGAAATGGGAACTTCAAACACAAATGGTTTCTTCCCAAAGAATGAGGCATACCAACCAACAATATAAATACACATGAAAAATCATAAACAATCAATACACCATTTACTCTTGCAATACTCTCCCCCAGAAATGACAATGTACAATTTCAACACATGAGTATATAGAACTCGAATCGCACTGGATATATTTATAAAGCAAAGCATTAGTTAAAG